AATTCAAGTCCCCGATCTGGTGACTTGAAAAACACCCCAGGCACACGTGCATGTGTGCTCAAGATCCTGAGAGGACAGTGGCGAGAAAGGGATTGCAGTGTGATCATTCCCCCTCGGGGTGTGGAGGGGGGAGAAAGCATAGGGCATAATATTGATATTGTGTATTTTCTTTCCTGCCTCACTAATACCACCTTCATCCAACAGACATCCATAGTACACCTATGGCCCATCTGCTACCCTGCTATTAGCTGGGAATAAAAGAAATAAGATCCCATCCCTGTGTTGGGAGAAGGAGAAAGCACAGATTACTGTAACAGAGCATGACAAATACAGCAATAGGGGCACACACACATAGGGCTCAGTGACAAGTGCAGCCACCTAAGAACACGCACACAGGATTCGGAACCCCGGGAAGCAGCTCTCACTCATCCCTGTAGAACTCCATTATCTCTCTCCCAACAGCTCTGACAGGTAATTATAAACACACCAATAGACACACCAACCATTATAATTTCTGATTGTGTCCTGTATGGGGCCTAAGAAGCTATGTGAGTTAAATGGAAAGGAAAGGGTGATTATAAAGCAAACAGATTTCATTCCGTATGAGTCGAAGCGTCTTCAGAAGTCATTCAAGCTAACTGCTTTTCGAAATGTAAATGTTTTTCCTCCTCTGGTTTCCCTCTTTCAGTTCTTTTCTCTTCAACATTGCTGCTGTGCCAGCTCTCTACCAGCTGAATGCCAAGGTGTGTGAATGCTGTTCAGGGGATTGTAAAGGACGATGAACTATAACTTATTTTAACCCCTTTCTTCTCTCCACTGAGAATAATTGCAGGTTTTCTATTATGTGGGATTAAAAAAAAACATGTAATGTTGGGACCAGCCGTTAGCATAATGTCTGTGTCGCTGGACTCCCACGTAGTCAACCATGGTTCAAGTCCTGGACCGGTGGCTTAAACTCACACCGGGCATATGTGCATGTGTGCCCAAGATCCCGAGAGGAGAATAGAGGAGAAGGGATTGCAGTGGGGCCCTTCTCCCTGGGGGGTGATTTCTTGCTTTCTATCTCTCTGTCTCTCATTGTCTTTCTGGTGAGCGCATGCACCCTATAGCAAAAAAAAAAAAAAAAAAATATGTAATGTAGATTTTAAAGACCATTCAATTCTTACTGTTTTTAACTAACTTGGTCCAACAGATCATGATCTGTCCGTAAGAATTTATGTGCAGCTGTATTTGTAATGCCAGTAACCTTCGACAGAGACATGAGAAGCCATCTACTTAATTACCGCCAAATATACTCTGCCCTGTGAGTTCCAAATCTGGAACAGACATGTCCCGTTGGCTCTCAGCTCTGAGCTGAGCTCTGATGTGTTATTTGAGGAGGAAACCTGAATGCAAAAGGGAATTACCACTTAGAAAACCTTTTACTTACCCAGGGGTAACTGATTGCTTTTTCTGTGTGTATATGCAACTGCTGGGAAATGGCTAGTACTTCCCGGGAAACAGTAGCCATCTCTCACACAATAGTACATGCTCAAGGCATCTGATGCTGTCAGAAAAAAATTTTAAAAAGATATATTATTGATATTCTGTGTGACTTTATAGCTTTAGGTTTTCTCCCGTTCACTTTGGTTTGCCTTGTGCACTAGATAACCCAGGAATGCAAGAACAGAGCAAGAAACGGTACCTAGATTTCATCTCTTTATTTATACTCTACCTCAGTCCACAAAGAATTGACACCGGTTTAGGATTCATACAGTGCAGGATTATGTAAGCAGTCAGCAAACATAGGTTCTGAAAAGTGATTTCCTCAAAGTCCCACAGCCGCTTAGTGGCAACGCTAGAACTGAACTTCTATCTGTCTCCCTATTGAAGAGAGAATCATTACATCCCATAGCCCCACCCATTCATCCTTTTTTTCTTCCCAGTTACTGTGTTCTTATAAACATTTGAAAGACACTGTGTTGCCCCTAGATAGTATAATAGGGAGTAGGAAGGACATGGGTCCTGTCTTTGACGTATTTACCATGAAGAGAAAGGATAAATTTAAACACATGTTACTACAAATAGTTCAGTAATGAGGAAAGAAACATAGCTATAAAAGTGATCATTGTAGGGAGTTAGCAGTTAGCGTAATGGCTATGTCACTAGACTCCCACATAGTCGACCATGGTTCGAGTCCTGGGCCCAGTGACTTAAACTCAACCCCGGTGTGTGTGCATGTGTGCCCAAGATCCCGAGAGGAGAATGGAGGAGAAGGGATTGCAGCGTGGCCATACCCCCTGGGGGGTGATTTCTCGCTTTCTGTCTCTCTGTCTCTGTCTGTCTGGCAAGCACATGTACCCTATAGCAAAAAGCTCTCCGAAAAAAAAGTGATCATTGTATGGCTGCCATACACACTTAATGGAGGCCCTGGAAGACTTATTTCAAGAATTGACATTTTTGGTGAACTATTGAGGAAAATTGGAAGCAAATCAAAGGGCGTGAGTGACAGGCATGCCGAGCAGAAGAGAACAGGGTGAGGGAAGGCCCTGAGATGGGTGGATCTTGGCTCAGCTGGAAATGGAAAGAAACCTTTGTGGCTGGCCTGGATCATCGTTAGCTGGAAATGGAGCATGAGAGGGGCAGAGGTGGAGCCCGATGTCAGGTTGCTAAAGGCCCGATAGCCTCCTTATCAACTTTGGATTTGATCCTAAGTGCAATAAGAAGCTCTAGGAGGATTTTAAACAGGGGGTGAGAATATAATCAGGTTTGTGTGTCAGGACTGTAATAACTGATGGATGAAGAATGGCTTAGAGAGCAAATGTAAGAGGGGAGAACAAATAGAATGTTCCTGAGTTGACTGAGGTGAGAAATGGTGATGGCCTGCAGATAGGATAGGATGGGAAAAAGTAAAGAGATTCCAGATTTGATTTGAAAGTAGAATCAATTAAGACTTATTGATGTGTTGAGGGATGGGAGGTTTTAAGCATGACTCGCAGTTCCTGGTTGAAGAACGGGGTGGCTAGTGTTGATATGTCCACAGGTGGGGAGAATTGGCCATGAAACCATCTGGGTACTGAGTGGGATAAAAAGTTCCATTTTGTCTGAAATGCTTGTAAGACATCTAGTGGAGATACAGAGTAGGAGTTGACTGTATAGCTCTTTGGCTGAGAAAATTATCTGGGTTAACTATATGAATTTAGATGACATTAATATATGTAAGTCTTTGAACGTAACAGGTTAATTTACCAAGTTGAGGTGATTGAACTTACACGGGAAGAGAAGGATGGGTGAGGTATGCCAAATGAATGAAGAAAGACATTTAGGGGGCCAGATGTTGGCACAGTGGTATAACGTGATGCTCTGCAAGGCAGTCCCGCACAGGAAGGGACCTGGTTCAAGTCTAGAGACCTCCCTGAGTATGCCAGGCCCCTGAGGGCCTGTAATTTAGGGATGATTGAAGACTTGGGGTGGGTCACAATATGAGGACTCTGTTGGCAGATCCTTTCTTTACCCTCACCCTGAAAAAGTCAGTGAATGGACTTTAAAAAGGAAAGCAAGTAAGGGCAGTGACAAGACCAAAGCAGAAAAGACATAGAGCAGTGGACTGTTTAGCCAGTTGTTGAGAAATGGAAAGTGGAGCCGCTGATCAAGGAGCCAGATCCCACATGGTGAGCACAGCCATATCTCTACCCAGTCTGCCTTAGACATGCTGGGCAGCCACATGAGTGCCCGCGATCTAAAGGACTGGAGGAAGGGGATCACGGCGTGACCTGGCCTTGTGAAGAATGCTCCTCTCTCACTGTCACTCTCGCCTACACATGCACAGCCAAATGTGCTATCACAGGGACCAGCAGATGGCATACTGGTTGTGTCGCTGAACTTCCACGTAGTTGACTGTGGTTTGAGTCCTGGGCCTGGCAGCTTAAAACTCATGCTGGGCACATGTGTATGCATGTCTAAAAGCCCAAGAGGAGAATGGAGGAGAAGGGACTGTGACCTGGTCATCCCCCAGGGGCGGGGGAGGAACAGGTGATTTCTCACTTTCTGTCTGTCTCTCTGCCTCTCTCCAGTGAGCACACACGCCCTGTAGCAAAAATCTCTCAAAAAAAATAGAAGAGATACAAGTGTGCTATCGTGAATAAAGGAGAAAACCCTTTTTGTGTGTACAATAGGAGGGAGTTGCGTTTCGAGTGTCCTCCCAGGCTGAGCATTGGCTGCCCTTTGTGCACTGTGGCTCCAGGGAGCAGCGTCTGTGAGCAGTCTTAGGTCTTCACATAAGAGCAGGCAGCACTTCTGTGAGCTTCCTGGATTTATATGGTGAAACAAAGACTTTCTATAACTCTTGGGGCAGTTACACTGGTTGTGTATCATGAATGAATAGTAAAAGGTGGTGGTGGAAACTGGCCCACGCCATCAGAACTGTTATGACAGGGTTGTGTGATAAGGTCTCAGCTCCCATCTCCTCGGCTCCACGAGAGTGCTGAGCAGTGGACTTCCCCTAACCCATCAAGAACTATCAGTCTGGAGCCCTGCTCTTGCCATCCATCACACCTCACAGTCCACTTTGCAGGGCCTGCTGTAAACATCCCATCAACCTATGTTCTTTGGCAGAACAAAGTTAGAAGCCAACTGAGGAGGCTGGGAACCTTTCCAGTCAAAGAACAAAGCACTGTGAACGTGAATGGGGCCAAGAGGTTACACACACCCATTTGAAAAATTTCTACTCTCCAGAGCTGAAAGAGTTGACACCTTTCCAAAATGACCCCCTTCAGCCCCTGACTAGCTAAGTGGGATCTGGCTAACAGCTAGCATCATCATTCTTTGTCACTAGTAATTGTATCTTGGTATCCCTTCAGTAATACATCTCTGTTTGTGCCTAATAGCTTCGCGTGCTTTGAAGTATATATGTATATTTAATTCTGTGATTCCGTGTGTGCATTTTTAACCGAGAACCAAGGGACTATTTATAAGTTGAGCACTTCCTGAGTGCTGATTCTGCCTCTTTGAACATTTCACAGAAATGAAGATGCAGTCCATCAGATGGCCGTGGCTCCCTTCCCATTGCCTTCAAGCTCCCCATCTTCCATTGAGGTAAGGTTGCTCCAAATCAGTTCTTAGAATTAGGTGGATTTGTCATGCTCATGTTTTCCAAACAATGACTTTTTAAATTTTTAGATAGTACTTGGTGTTGCAGAGTCATAGACTTGATTAGTTAGGCAATTTCCTTGACTAAAACAAAAAGTATTTAAGGTATGATTATAAAGTACAACAGTGTTCAACACACATATCAGAACTTAGCTAGGGGCCAGCAGATGGCATAGCAGTATGTCGCTGGACCCACATGGCTAACTGCGGTTTTAAACTCACACTAGGTGTGTGTGTGTGCATGCCCAGGATTCTGGGAGAAGAATGGAGGAGAAGGGATTGTGGTGAGGCCACCTTTCCTGGGAGGTGATTTCTCACTTTCCCTCTCACTGTTTCTGTCTCTTGCTCCCTGGCTACAGCACAATCCCTTCTCCTCCATTCTCCTCTCAGGATTTTGGGCATGCACTCACCCATGCCTAGTGTGATTTTCAAGCTGCCAGATCTCTACTATAGCTGGCCATGTGGGAGTCCAGCACCTTCATCACCACGCCACCTGCTTGCCCCAGAAAGTTTTTCTTTCTTATGATAGAATTATACCCCTTTCTTTATGATTTTAAAATACTTTAATACCTGTGATCACAAGTATCTTTAAATAATTAATTACTTTCATCTATTAATGGAGAAATCTTTTTTTTTTTGGAGAGGTTTTTTTTTTGGTTTTGTTTTGTGTTTTGTGTTTTTTGTTTGTTTGTTTGTTTGTTTGCTATAGGATGCTTGCACTCACCAGAAAGACACAGAGAGACAGAAAGCAAGAAGTCACCCCCCCGGGGGGATGGCAATGCTGTAACCCCTTCTCCTCCATTCTCCTCTTCGGATCTTGGATGCACACACATGCCCAGTGTGAGTTTGAGCCGCTGGGTCCGGGACTCAAACCGCAGTCAACTACATGGGAGTCCAGCAACATAGCCATTGCACCAACTACTGGTCACCTATGGAGAAGTCTTTAGTATAGGATTGCTATGACTTTTAGAGTTGTTGATGGGTAGACAAACATAAGATAGATAAGTGGATGAATGGTTAGGTAGGTGGATAGATATAGAGCTGTGTAATTAGTTTGTCTTCCCAGCTGAGGGAACATTTATTCTCCTCACATAGCAATATGTACTTATTGATTATAATCAAACAATACCGAGTTATTAGAAGGATAGTTAGTTGTCCATTCCTCACCTCCCTAAGAAAGTAAATGTTTTCTGTTTAGTATCTTTCCATACATTTTTCTTTGCCTCCACAACAAAAATAAATAGCCATAAAGAATGTCTCTTTCAATGAAATTTTGATTATAAAATGCACATTCTTTCAACAAGTATTCGGTTAATGTGTATTATGTGTCAGGAAGTGTTTTACATGTTGCAAATATAGGTATAAATAAAACAGGTAGGGCTCTCTCCAGGAGCGAAAGGTAACAAATTAACCAAGAAATAAATAAACCAAGAGAAAGGCCAGCAGATGATATAATGGTTAAGGTACTGGATTCCCACAGAGCTGACCATGGTTCGAGTCCCAGACCCTGCAGCTTCAAACTCATGCCAGGCCTGGGTGTGTGTGTAAGTGTGTAACCAAAATTACAAGAGGAAAATGGAAGAAAAAGGATTGCAGCATGGCCATCCCCCTAGGGTGTGATTTCTCAATTTCTCTCTTTCTCTCTCTCTCCCTCTCTCCCCCCCTCTCTCCATCTCTCTCTGTCTCTCTGAGGAGCACATATGCTCTATAGCAAAATAAATAAATAAATAAATAAAAATCTCAAAAATAAATAAACCAAGAGAATTACAGTTGGTGGTCAGTACCTTCAGAGAATTACAATAGGGAGTATAGTGACCACTTCTATTAGTTAAAGGGAAAGTCTCTTGGACAAGGTGAAATTTAAGCAATATCAAGATGATGACAAGGAGGCAGAAATGCAAAACTAAAGAGAAAGAACCCCCTCAGCAGAGGAGAGAAAAATAGTTCTCCGTGAAGAATGAGCTGGGGGGGGGGGTTCATGGCTAGGAACATATAGAGAACTGGAATATGGGGGGGAGAGAGGCTTTATAAATCAAAGTAACATGCAAGGGAAGCCACTGGGAAGTTTGTTTTTGTTTGTATTTTTAATTCAAGATGGAGCACGTGCATACACATGTAAGAGGGGGAGAGGAGCACCCTCACAGGGTCTGGTCATGCTGTCATCTCCTCCCTTCGGTCCTCTAGCCTGTTGATCTTGGGCATTCATGCCTCTGCCCAGCACCTTCTAGTCTGACCAGGCCAGGGGTTTGAGCTATCGTCCGCCATGTAAGACTCGGCCTGTCTTTAGCAGCCCATGAAGGTGGCCCACCTACGAAGTTTTAAACAGACAAGTAAGGTGATAAGGTCTAGTTTGGAAACCTTCTTAATATAGATTTCTGGGCCAGCCCATGGCCTAATGGTTAAAGGAGCCAGATCACATGATTCAAATCCTGGCCCCAGCAACTTGAAAAACACACCAAACGCTCGTGCATATATGCCCCAAATTTCAGCAGAGTGGAGAAATGGAAGAGCAGGAATTGCTGTGTTTCTATTGGGGGGTGCTTTCTCCTCCTCTCTCTGACAAGTACACATGCCTTCTGGCAAAATCTAAAATACACACACACACATATGCATGTATGTATTCATTCCTCTACTATCATCTCCAGGCCAATAAATGGCCACGGGTTGCCTTCAGTGGTTGACCTCTGTTTTCCCTGGTAAGTATGTGGGGTGGTGAAGGTGAAGATACCTTTTATTTTGTAAATCTATAACCTGATTTTAAGCAAATAGTGGGAAATCAGAGACCTTTTCTATATCAACTTCTTATTGCCTACAGCTCAACTATCTTTCATATTTTGGGTTGGCATATTCTGGCATCTAGGTAGAGAATGGACAGTAGGAAGTAGAAATACAATATGCCAGAAGGAGAAGTCCAGGTGAGACCTGAATGTGGCTTGGATGTGGCCTTGGAAACGAAAGTGATCAGATTCTTCATCTTTTGGAAGTTGAAAGAAAAGGGAATCACAGATCAGCCTAGACTTTTGGCTTAAGCAGCTAGGTGGGTTACGGTGGCATTTGTTAGTCTGTTAAAGGATAGTTATTCCTCAATGGAGAGGTGGAAATGTTACTTTTTTGCTTTTGCTTACTATAGTAATGGTGTGTGTGTGTGTGTGTGTGTGTGTGTGTGTGTGTATGTGTGTGTGTGTGTTTATGTGTTTGCAATAGGGTATGTGTGCTCACCAGAGGGGGGAGGGATGAGAAAGCAACTCCCAGTGAGATGGCCATGACATAATCCTTTCTCCTCCATTCTCCTCTTGGGATTTTGGGCATGTGCATATATGTGTCCAGAGGTCTTTATTTTATTTATTGGGTTTTTTTTGAGCTGCCTTGTCCAGGACTTAACCACACCGTGGGCCATGTGGGATCTAGCCACCTTAGCCACCATACCACTGGCTGGCATAAATCTTATTTAATCTTAATCATGCAGTCATGCCTCATGGAGGAGTCTCTCTCCTTTTCTCCCTCTCTCCTCTTCCCCTTTCTCCCTCTCTCCCTCTCTCCTTCTCTCTCTTCAATGAGTGCATACACCCTCTGGCACAATTTTTTTTTTAAAAGACAGATTTTTGCTTGAAGGTATTGTATTCACCAGAGACACAGAGAGACAGAGAAAGTGAGAAATCACCCTCTAGTGGGGATGGCCATGCTACAATCCCTTCTCTATTCTCCTCTCAGGATGTTGGCCACATACACACATGCACTCAGTGTGAGTTTCAAGCTGCCGGGTCCGGGACTCGAACCACAGTTGGCAATGTGGGAGTCCAGCACCATAACCACTATGCCACCTACTGCCGGCCCCAGCACATTTTTTTTTAAAGTGAGAGGTGTCCTTTGTTTTTTGCGATGTCACCTGTGCCTTATTGAAAAAGAAGGACCCATTTCTCTCTTTTATTATTATTTTGGAGGGGGAGTGAAGCATGGATGGGGTTTACCACATGTATTCACCAGAGAGAGAAAGAGAAAGGGAAAGTGAGAAATCACCCCTGATGGGAGATGGCCATGGTTCCATCTCGTGGTCAGCCATGTGGGAGAACAGCACCTTAACCACCATGCCACCTGCTGGCCCTGGGACCCTTTTCTAAATGGGTTTCCCAGTTAGGACTATTCCTCATATTTCCCTCATTATCTCAGTGTTTTAAGAATGTGGTCTGTGGGAGCCAGCAGTTAGCGTAATGGCTATGTCGCTAGACTCCCACGTAGTTGACCGCGGTTCGTGTCCCGGACCCGGTGGCTTAAAACTCACGCCGGGCGCGTGTGCGTGAGTGCCCAAGATCCCGAGAGGAGAATGGAGGGGAAGGGACTGCGGCGTGACCATCCCCCCTGGGGGGTGATTTCTCGCTTTCTGTCTCTCTGTCTCTCTCTGTCTGTCTGGCGAGCGCATGTGCCCTACAGTGAAAAATCTCTCAAAAAAAAAAAAAAAAAGAATGTGGTCTGTAGGACCAGCAGATGGCATAATGGTTACGTCACTGGACTCCAACATAATAGACCACAGTTCGAGTCCCAGACCTGGCAGCTTAAAACTCACGCCAGTTGTGTGTGTATGCCTGCCCAAGATCCCAAGAGGAAAATGGTGGAGAAGGGATTGCAGCATGGCCATTCCCCCCTGGGGGATGATTTCTCACTTTTTTGTCACTCTTTCTCTCTGTCTCTCTGGTGAGTACACGTGCCCTATACCCTATAGCAAAAATCTCTTAAAAAAAAAAAAAAGTCTGTAAGCACCACACTAAATATATAGCTTTTGTAGGACTGTCATATTTTCTTCTTAAGCATGGAATTCCAGTGCCTAGTACATAGTATTTGTTTCAAAAACGTTTTTGAATAAATGAGAGCTGGCTCCATGGCATAGCTGTGATACCTTGTTCAAAGGGAAACTGGATCCCAAGTGACAACTACAGTTTGAATCCCTGGCC